TTCACCATGGTCACTGTTCTTTGAGAAAACTAATCGTTTCCCACAGATGGCGCCAGATAATGCGTGCTAATTTTTGCACAACAGTAGAAGTAGGAACAAATATTTCCCACGATGAATTGTGGTTTGAGAAGATAATAATTCCGACGGAACGGAGGGTTTGCTTTCAGGATTTTCGATCGCCTTTGGTAGAGATTTGACCGATCCGAAAGTGAGTTTTGAAAACAAGAAGTAGGTTGAGAGGGACAAAGGAGCCCTAAGGACTGGTGATGAATTGTTTGTTGGGTCGTTTGACCGGTCCTAGAAGACTATTGGGGGATCCTATGACACATAAAAACAGGTTAGAAGGGTGCCGAAGTGTTTTTCGGCGTATTCCCTCCGACAATCAAGTCAATTCTTTGAGAGAGGGGAAGAAGAAAGCACTCTGTAGTTATTTTTTAGAAGTTCTTGCGTATCTTTTCAATGATTTTTGAGAACTATTTATACCTTCAAAAGCTCATGATTGCTGATAGTCCATTCAACAGATATTTGTCAGACATGGGGCAGTGTGCTTCTCACTTTTATGGAGAATGGGCTTTCCTTTAACTGATCAGGATGCCGAGCATTTAAAGCTCACTCCTCGGTCTGTCGAGCATTCAATTCCCTTTCCTCGGCGAGGATGTATTAAATGCCTAGGTACGGGTGTCTTTAATGCACTTCACTTCTCACCCCCCATGCCTNAGGTCTGTCGAGCATTCAATTCCCCTTCCTCGCGCGAGGATGTATTAAATGCCTAGGTATGGGTGTCTTTAATGCACTTCACTTCTCAACCCCCATGCCTTAATTGCTGTCTCATAAGGAGGATGATTCATTAAATGCATACTTGCTCTAGTCATGTGTCAGCAGGGGTACCTAGGTCTTATTGCTACTGNCGGTCTGTCGAGCATTCAATTCCCTTTCCTCGGCGAGGATGTATTAAATGCCTAGGTACGGGTGTCTTTAATGCACTTCACTTCTCACCCCCCATGCCTTAATTGTTGTCTCATAAGGAGGATGATTCATTAAATGCATACTTGCTCTAGTCATGTGTCAGCAGGGGTACCTAGGTCTTTTTGCTACTGATTTGATATTAAATTCCACGCATCCACTCCTCCTTGGTTGCGTGTTCTGCATCCCTGCTCCTCCTAAGACCATTGAGCATAGTGTCTTCATGATNTTAAATTTCACGCATCCACTCCTCCTTGGTTGCGTGTTCTGCATCCCTGCTCCTCCTAAGACCATTGAGCATAGTGTCTTCATGATGATTAGCCTAACTTGCCCTAGGCTAGCATCAGTCAATCATTATCTTTCATAGAAGCAGAAGAGAGGTTGGATTCAGCCTACAGAAGGAACATCTCGGTACCGAGGAACATTTGTCTACCTCATAGGTCAAGAATTTTACCGAGCCGAGGACATATGTGTTAATCACGCCGATTAGGGGGATCCCTCGGCTCCGAGCACTATCTCCTCGACAGATGGGAATGAATGTCGCCGAANGCAAATGGGGATGAGTGTCGCCGAAGACACGTGGTCATGTCTAGTTGGAATCATAACGATGCGGAGGATACGNACAGATGGGAATGAATGTCGCCGAAGACACGTGGTCATGTCTAGTTGGAATCATAACGATGCGGAGGATACGTGTCGCCGATCTGTCTTCTCCTAGAAATGTTCCATCAAATTTCAAAAACCAAAAAAGAAACATTTGCAAAGTGAATCAAATGGATGAATGATCTTCTAGACAATTGAACGGAAGATCCTCCTTTTGCTTGCTCTTTTTTGTAATGCGAGGTAAGTTGGTCAGGGTTATTATCTGAACAAGGTAGAGGTCAATGCCTTAACGATTGTACTGGTAAATGTGGTCCTCTGTGGGTGGAAGAAGGAAATAATTCCGAGTCTTTAATTCAATCAGATAAAGGCATTATGTAATCGAGTTGTTGCTCTGACAAGATGCCTATAATAAATTCCTATGCAATCATGCATGTGGAAATGCTTNTATTATCTGAACAAGGTAGAGGTCAATGCCTTAACGATTGCCACAACTATTGTACTGGTAAATGTGGTCCTCTGTGGGTGGAAGAAGGAAATAATTCCGAGTCTTTAATTCAATCAGATAAAGGCATTATGTAATCGAGTTGTTGCTCTGACAAGATGCCTATAATAAATTCCTATGCAATCATGCATGTGGAAATGCTTCCATTATGTATATAGTACTGATTGGGTATACCTTCTGAAACGAGCTAACTCATTTATATTTTAAATAATTTTTTTTCAAAAAAAATATTATTATTATTATTACTACTACTCTTATTCTTGGTGCTGCTAGCAGTGGTGATGATGCAATTTTATTGATTTCATTTTTATCCTCTAATAAATACTCACAAAATGTCAATTGGTACAATCTNGTATATAGTACTGATTGGGTATACCTTCTGAAACGAGCTAACTCATTTATATTTTAAATAATTTTTTTTCAAAGAAAATATTATTATTATTATTACTACTACTCTTATTCTTGGTGCTGCTAGCAGTGGTGATGATGCAATTTTATTGATTTCATTTTTATCCTCTAATAAATACTCACAAAATGTCAATTGGTACAATCTAATACACATTGTTAACAGTTAATTTTACATACATTAGAGACTGAAGTAGTAATGGTGGTGTGAATGAAACTTTTAGTATCGTCAGTATCTATAGTAAGAATAATGTTATTTGAATTTAAAAATTTGAACTAATTTACTGACATAATGATGTGATTTCATAAAAATTATTAGATTAACATCAAGTTTCAATGTTTGATAGGGTCTACAATAAATCTAAAGGTCACAATAAATTACGTCCCAATAACATTGCTCTTATAGTANCATCGTCTGTATTTATAGTAAGCGTAATGTTATTTGAATTTAAAAATTTAAACTAATTTATTGACATAATGATGTGATTTCATAAAAATTATTAGATTAACATCAAGTTTCAATGTTTGATGGGGTCTACAATAAATCTAAAGGTCACAATAAATTACGTCCCAATAACATTGCTCTTATAGTAAAAGAAGGGAGGGGAGGCCTAATTACTAAGCACGTTGAAATTATGGGTTGTGCATATTTATTGCATTTTTTGTAATTATTTGTGTAATTAAGAAGGGCCCCTCTAAGTACCGATTCTCTTTGGGTGGGTTAGGTCATTATTTCCTTTTTTAGGTTAAATAAACTGGCCAGTTATTAAAAAATTGTGTAAGCTGGTCTCGTTTGGAACTCGAGCCGAATTGAATAGCTCGATTATTTTATATATAAATGAGTCGAACTTTGCGAGCTTGAATCAAACTTTTAAGCTCGTTTTACTAAATAATTCTAAAAAATTATTCAAACTCAACTCGTTTAAAACACGAGTCAAACTCAAGCCACATTTTATCTAAACCAAGCTCGAATAGTTCGTCTCAATTAACACTCATATTGGTAAGTCTACATGTTAGATTTGTTTCACAAGACCCATTNTTCGATTATTTTATATATAAATGAGTCGAACTTTGCGAGCTTGAATCAAACTTTTTAAGCTCGTTTTACTAAATAATTCTAAAAAATTATTCAAACTCAACTCGTTTAAAACACGAGTCAAACTCAAGCCGCATTTTATCTAAACCAAGCTCGAATAGTTCGTCTCAATTAACACTCATATTGGTAAGTCTACATGTTAGATTTGTTTCACAAGACCCATTGAGAGTAAGATTTGGAAAATGTGATTTGTATGTAATTGTGATTTGGACAATCACTTATGTTAATGTCTGAAAAATTAATAGCAAGGTATCTAAATATACTCTAATATACTTTTTTATTTTTAAAAAAGTCATCAACGCTAGATCACTAACCAAAAATCAAAGTTGTTTGACTCACTTTCTCCAAGCGGGTCCATCTTCAACATACATCGAACAATTTATGAGAAAAATTCAACAAAATGTAATTAAGGAGATCCATATCCAATATAGCAAGGAGTTTTCATCAGTGCGTGGATAAATGAAATTATATATGAAAAATATAATTTCTCGTTATGTATGCACACCATATAATAATATCACGAGGTGTGTTAAACCCACTCACTCAAGCGTTTCTCCTTTTTTTTTTTTTTTGCTGGTTTTTGTGGCTATCAACATAATATATGGTTGCTTCCACCGTGAAGAACTCCTGGCTCTGCCCTTGAGCGGAGACTTTGTTTTATAGGCAACGTACGTGCTCTAACATACTATAATAAATCTAGAATTCACACATAGCCATAAGGTATTTAAAAAATAATATATGGGTATTCTGTAACGTTAGTAACTTCTTCCAATTTAGCTACTTCTCCGACCGGCGGAAACCACCAGCAGCATTAACATAAACATCAAGGTAGTGATCTTCATCTCTTGATACTAGTGGTTGTGATCATGGCAGCCATGCACAATACAAGTAATGTTTCATAAATATATATCTATATCTATATAACAAAAATTAAAAAAATGGAGGATGGTCCCCTTCCCCTGGCCCCTTAATAGACCCGCCGGTGCATCTATAATCAATACATGGAAACTTTTTCCTTTTTAGGTAAGTGTGTTAGATATGTCTGATAGAGAGAGAGAGAGAGATCGGTTCATATTAGATGTATGGACCAAAATTTGGATATGGACTACACAAAAACGATTCGTTGGATAATGACATCGGTTTGAGATTTTAAAGTCAAATTCGAATTTCATATTAACACATGCATGCATAACCTTTTAATTATAGGCATTTTGGTATAACAATGATAGAGATCATATGATTAGAAAATTCAAAATTAAAAACAACATAAGCTTTTCATTATAGACATTTTATTATAACAAGAACAACGATGCAGAATGTACAATACACACCGACAATTATTCGTTGGTATCTCCCAAGCTTCTATTTATAAGCCCAAAGCTTTTATTTATAAGCCCAAGAGGTTATTATTTCACACAAATACACAACACATACATATTTGCCTCCCTCTTATGCATAGTTTATGAAGTGATTGATGAATGGAAGGCTGCCTTGTGGAACAAGTAGCATGATTTAGAGCTTCATCAGAATCCCAGGTTTGAAATAGCAGAATTCAGGACCTCCAAAGCAGGCACCTGCACAGTATCCATCGCATTCCAAAGCACAAATAGCATAGCTCCTCGGCTTGTCGGGGCATAAGTTGTCCATGCATCTGGTTATGCAGGCTTCTTGCAGGTTCGTAACTTGTCCGGCCCGATCGGGCACAGCCGACGCTATCACCACCATGAACATAAACAGCAAGGCAGTGATCATCTTTTTGTTGGTGGTGGCGGCGGCCATATTTGGTTTCTCTTTCCTTTCACACTATGAAGACTGAAGTAGTAAAGGTTATGTGAATGAAACTGCTAGCATCGTCAGTATTTATAGTAAAGGACGGGGAGGGAGGCCTAATTATTGAACAAGTTGATAGTATGGGTTGTGTTGCATTTTCCATTATTGCATTTTCCATTATTGCTGTAATTAAGAAGGGCCGCTCTAAGTAGGTGGATTGGATAATAATGGGGCCATTTGTTATAAATACCGATATTCTTTGCGTGGATTAGGACATTATTTCCTTTTTTAAGGTTAACTAAATAAGTCTTTTTTTTTGTCTTTTATTGATAAATAGAAGCGTTAATTGAGTCGAACTTTGTGAGTTTAGTTCAAATCTGCTTAAAAAGACCTCTCTAACGAGTTGTTTTTCTAAACAAACTTAAAAAATTATTTAAGCTCAGTTCATTTAGGACTCGAGTTCAACCCGAATAGTTCAATTATTTTACATATAAACAAGACGAACTTGAATGCTTGAGCCAAATCTTTTAGATTTATTTTTTAAATAAGTCTAAAAAATTATTTAAATTCAGCTCGTTAAAACCGAGCGGAGTTTTATATTGGTAAGTGTATAGCTTGGATTTGTTTCACAAGAGTTATTGAGAGTATGATTTTCAAGATTACAGTATCGGTTGATGATGAATAAATTGGTATTATGCACTACTTGTCAAATGATTAATAATTAATATAGTAATTAAATAAAGAGAGAGAGTAACTCAAGCAAAACAAAGATGTAGAATAGTTCGATCAACATGATCTACGTCCACCGTGAAAGACTAGGGTGACCTGGGTATTTTATTATTTTGAAAAGTGTTGGAAAAGCAGGAAAATACAAACAATGAGAGAGAGATAAGAGTGATTGCAGATATGCTCGATGCCCTCAAGTATTGACGACACTTACAATTTATAATAACTCTCAATATACTAAGACGATTTTTTAGTAATTAAGTAGCAAACCTGGTAGAACTGATGCTATCTTTTCAACGGGTGAGACAGTTACGGAACTCCCCTTAAGATCAAGTGAAAGGATGGCGTGGTAGTTAATTTCTTTAAAAGCAGCGTAGATGAAGTTCTTAGATGACCCCTACTTACTCTTTTGGTGATATAACTCCTCAAAATCTGATAGGCTTGACTAGGTGTGGACCTCTCTTGAATTGAACTCATTAAATCTCTTTAAGTTGAACTCTTTATTCAAATTGGGCTTATTACATGAGTTAGGACCTTAGTTGTGGCCCATCATCGGTTATTCTTACGGATGAAGACACATGCCTCCAGGATCAATTTGATGACAAAAGAAAAAAAAAAGTGTAGTCTTAAGATTAAGCTATAAATATGACTTACATCACCGACAATTTTTATAGTGTAGAACAATATTTTTATAAAGTAATTATGTATTAGTCATTATAGCAAGTAATAAATGACAAAATAGTTGATTAAGACATTACCAAAAAATTATTTTTTACAAGAAAAAAATAAGAATTAATTTGTTTATTCAATGAAATTTGACATTAATGATATAATTACGTAATTCAATAAAATTTCTAATTGTACTCTATTTGGCCTCTTTGTCATAAAATTTTGGCTCCGTTCCTCATTACTAAAGCACATTAATCGTGCCCTCGCGAATCAATTTCAGGCGATATGAACAGAATTTGATGAAATTTTTAGGCCTAATGTGATGTCTGAAATGGTACCGTTTAATTCAATTTACTAGGTTCATTTCATACATAGAAAGGAAGGGTTATAAATTTTATTTGATCAAATGATCTATCAAACCTAAACCTAATTCCAAGATCTAGACGATAATGTAGTAGTTAGATTTTTTTTTTTTTTTGAGAGTATCTAGGAAAGAATTGAACAACTATCCCATTCAGAAGAAGTCTTGAAAAATCAGAAAAATATGCCACCGGAAGGAAGACGAGATGATATTACATATCACAGTAAAATCACATCNAGAAGTCTTGAAAAATCAGACAAATATGCCACCGGAAGGAAGACGAGATGATATTACATATCACAGTAAAATCACATCATCAATGATACGTGATGTCATAAATTAGTGATAAAATACTAAATAAACTTTAATAGACTCTATTGTTTTAATAACTATTAATAACCACTTTATTTAATAATTATCATGTTGGAATAGTAAGACTCACCAATTTTATTTATTGTTTTATAATTGATTGGTAAAATTAACTCTAACCGGGTTGTTAAATCCCAACTAGACAACTTCAACATCTCTTTTTCCATTTTTCATTATTTCTGTAGTGAAGAAGGGCCCCTCTAAGTAGGTGGCGTGGATAATAATGGGGCTATCTGTTATAAATGCCGATAATCATTGGGTGGATTAGGTCATTATTTCCTCTTGTTTTTTTCTTCAGAAGGTAAATTTTTTCCTTTTTTTGGTCAACTAAACTAGGTCTTTTTTTATTTTATTTTATTGATAAATAAGAGTGTTAATCAAGCCAAACTTTGTGAACTTCAACCCAAATCTGCTTAAAAAGACACCTTTAACAAGTTTTTTTAAACAAGCATAAAAAATTATTTAAATTCAACTCATTTAAAACTCGAACTCAGCCCAAATAATTCAACTATTTTACATTTAAACAAGTCGAACTTTATGAATTTGAACCAAATTTTTTAAACTTATTTTTTTTAATAAACATAAAAAATTATTTAAACTCAGCTCATTTAAAACGAGCCTGAGTTTTATACTAGTAAGTGTACAAGTTGGATTTGTTTCACAATACTTATTGAGAGTATGATTTTCAAGATTATGCTTACAGATGAAGACACATGCCTCCAGGATCAGTTTGATGACAAAAGAAAAAAAAAAGTGTAGTTGTAAGATTAGTTATAAATATGACTTACATCACCGACAATTTTTATAAAGTAATTAGGTTTTAGTCATTATAGCAAGTAATAAATAACAAAATAGTTGATTAAGACATTACCAAAATTAATTTTTACAAGAATGAAAATAAGAATTAATTTGTTTATTCAATGAAATTTGACATTAATGGTATCATTCAATAAAATTTCTAATTGTTCACTATTTGGACCCTTCGTCTTAAAATCTTGGCTCCACTCTTCACTACTAAAGCACATTGATCGCGTCATCGCAAATCAATATCAAGCAATATGAAAGAAATTTGATGAAATTTTAGGCCTAACGTGAGGTCTTGAAATTGTACCGTTTGATTCAATTTGCTGTTCCTAAATAGAAGGAAGGACTGTAAATTTTGTTTGATGAAATCATCAATTAAACCTAATTCCAAGATCTAGAGGATAAAGTAGTAAATTTTTTTGGAGTATCAAGGAAAAAATTGAACTATCCCATTCAAAAGAAGTTTTGAAAAAGCAAACAAATATGCCACTCCGAGAAAAGACGAGAAGATAATAAATATAACAATAAAACCACATTATCAATGATACGTAATGCCATAAATCAATGATAAAATACCAAGTTAACTTAGTAGACTGTTGTTTTAATAATTATTAATAACCACCTTATCTAATAAATGTCTGATTAGAATAGTAAGATTCACTAATTTTATTGGTTGTTTTATAATTAGTTGGTAAGAGCAACTCTAACCTGATTGTAAAATTCCAACCGGACACAACTCCATCGTCTCTTTTTAACATCTCTTTCCTGTGCTATGCCAAATGTTGCCTGGGCAAAACAAATTTTGACAACCTATAAAATTTAGCCAAACTTGAGGAGACCATGGCACCCTTGGGCCATAATAGCTTAGCTCCGCCCGTGCATGCATGCATGCATTTATAGTAGACAGAGAGGCACATATAAATACAAATCAAGATAGAGACATAACACCTTTAATATTTAGAGCCACATAAATATTCCATGGGCACTGAGAAACAACCAGCAAAATAGGAAAAAAAAAAAAATCTCTTTAACAAACAACGATAATTATAATCCTTTGTCAGGCTTATTTTGTTTAGAATGGTTCCTCTAATACTTGTTAGTAGATGTAAGAGTCCAACATCAAGGCCTAATATACATTTTTGTAGCTCGAATATATGTACAAGATTAAGTTTATGGGAAGTAAATTCATACCTCATATTCTCTAAAAATAAAATAATAATAATCATGCCGCACTTAAAACTCACTGCAACATTTCCTTTTATCAAAACCCTACGGGGTCAACCTTCATCTCATCCTATGCTTCAAGTTAGGCCTATCAATAAATCAAATTTCAATTCGAATTCGATCTAAATTCGTTTAACCGAATATAGACTAATATTTTCATCTATTTAATAATCAACCTCCTATAAATTTAAAGAGAAAACACAACTTTAATAATCAACCTCCTATAAATTTAAAGTAAAAATCCATAAAATTCATATGCTCTCAATAATATTTACTCAAAAGTCAACTTATTGTCAAACTATGTCATTAGAAGAAATAATTGTGCATGAAGGCAATATGATATACTAAACAAAAAAAATATATATAATATTTAACAGAAGTTCAATTATATTCAATTCTATTCTCTATTCCAGATTAGTTACATATTCAACTCTAAATTTGTTTGTAATTTAACAGAAGTCCAGTTATTTGGATTACTAAGCTTTTCTTTAGATTAATTTTTATTTTTTAATTAATATTTGATTTAATTTTCTTTGTTCTTTTAAAAGATTTGGACAAAACTTTCCCTCCAAAAAAATATCACCCTATATAGACAATTTATAAAATGCTAAAATTTACCCAATTCAAAAAATGTGTGCCTTTGGATTATATTTTTGAATCAATCTTAATCCATTGATTTGGTTCACAAAATTTGCCCACGTCAAAAGCCGAGCTCCCTTTGCTTTGCTTTAATGAGAGAAATTGAAATCAGCCTATGAATGCTAGCAATGACACCATGCATGAAGATACTATGTAACGAAAAATTGCCTATTAAAAAGTGTGTGCACAATCTCTATATTTCATAATCAGACATATAAATGCTAGTCCTACCTAAATATAACCACATTAACCAACTACTGCAACAGTAAATATCCATAACTAATTATTA